GAAAACTGGGAGTGGGATGGGAGCAGACAGGCTTGGTGAGAAATTCCCCATATCTAATTTTTTTGTTTAGATGAATAAGAATTTATATTTGTACAGTGATAATGGTTTACACAATTTCTTCACATTTCGTGATGATGCAAAAACAAACAAAAAACTCTGCAAACATTAGTTTTATTGGGGAAAAAGACTCAACATTATATTTTAAAAAGTACTATCTAAAAGCATTCTTGAGAAGAATGGGAATTCCCGAGCACTTAATTGTATTCATGAGGAATCTGTACCTTGACCAGGAGGCTGTCGTTCGAACAGAACAAGGGGACACTACATGGTTTAAAATCAAGAAGGGAGTGTGTCAGGGTTGTATTCTTTCTCCACACTTATTCAATCTATATGCTGAGCAAATAATCCGAGAAGCTGGACTATATGAAGAAAAACGTGGCATCAGGATTGGAGGAAGAATCATTAACAACCTGATATGCAGACAATACAACTTTGCTTGCTGAAAGTGAGGATGACTTAAGGCACCTACTGATGAAGGCTGAAGAATACAGTCTGAAGTATGGATTACATCTCAATATAAAGAAAACAAAAATCCTCACAACTGGACCAATGAGCAGCATCACAATAAATGGAGAGAAGATTGAGGTTGTCAAATAATTCACGTTGCTTGGTTCTACAATCGATGCCAACGGAAGCAGCAGCCAGGACATTAGATGACGTGTAGCACTGGGAAAGTCAACTGCGAAGGAACTGTTTCAAGTGCTGAGGAGCAAGGATATCTCCTTGAGGACTAAGGTGCACCTGACACAAGCCATGATATTTCCAATCACCTGGTATGCATGTGAGAGCTGGACAATGAATAAGGAAGACCGAAGAAGAGTTGATGCTTTTGAGTTGTGGTGCTGGTGGAGAATGCTGAAAGTACCATGGACTGCTAAAAGAACTAACAGATCTGTCCTGGAGGAAGTGCAGCCAGAATGCTCCTTGGAAGCAAGAATGGCCAGACTTCGTCTCACCTATTTTGGTCATGTTGTCAGAAGGGACCATTCCCTGGAGAAGGATGTCATGCTTGGTAGAGTAGAGGGTCGACAAAAGAGGGGGAGGCCTTCAGCGAGATGGATTGACACGGTGGCTGCGATGATGGGCTCAAGTATAGCAGGGATTGTGGGGCTGGCGCAGGATCGGGCAGTGTTTCGTTTTGCTGTGCATGGGGTCGCTATGAGTCATAAATGACTCGATGGCACTTAACAACAACAACAACAAACAAAAGCACATCCAAAAGACTTTTCATTCTTCCGTTTAAGTTCTATGTTTCCTCCTGGGGAGCCACCAAGGACAGAAGAAAACGTGGGGGAGAGGGGGCTCTTGCCCCAGAGCCTCATCCAGTCACGTGACCCAGCTTCCTTTTCATCTGTCAGAACTCAGCCCATCTATCTGGCTAAAAACAGTAGACAATTTTGTGTGAGAACTGATGGGTGAGCTAAGGCAGACAGAGTCTAAGAGACTTCACATGGAGCCACAGGCAGGGTGCTCCAGAGGATTCTCAGTGGCTGATTTTTCAGCATTAGATGTCAGGCCTTTCTTCCAAGGTACCTCTGGGTGGACTCCAACCGCTTACCAAAATTTTGATTAGCAGCTGAGCATGTTAACTGTTTGCACCATCCAGGCCACCAAAACCAGTTCATTGACAATGAGTCAGAATCTACTCAAAAGTAGTTGGTTTTCATAAGTAAGGTGACCTTAAGTCTCAGTTTGCTTGAGATGGACCTGCCTGCTGTTCCGTCATAATTATGATAGCACTCATTTTATTCTCTGAAGTGCTATGATTTGGATAATAAATTATATGGTCTTCCTAGCCATGGGTGACTTGGCAGGGCATTTTTTTTTTGCAGGCAATTGCTCTGACTGTTCCCCCCGGGGGAATCAACAAAGTAGCTAAGAGCTTGGCTGGGAGCTTGTTGTTGTTGTTGTTATGTGCCGTCGAGTCGGCCCGACTCATAGCGACCCCTCCTTGGGTTTCTGAGGCAGTATCACTACGGAAGTAGGATTGCCCAACCTTCCTTCCGAGGAGTGGCAGGTGGGTTTGAACCGCCAGCCGTCTGGTTAGCAGGCAAGTGTCTTAGCCACTATGCTACCAGAGCTCCCTGGCTGGGAGCTAGGAGCTACAAAAAGAGGTTGAGGAATTTGTATTCCCATCGTGGTATTTCCCAGCTGGCACTAAGTTTGGGGAAATAAACATTGCCAGACACACCGCTTTCCTCATTCTCAAGGTGAGTGCTTCTAAGGGGGATAAACCTGTATCCCAGGACAGTTAAAGAAGTTGACTGTTTTAACTTGGATCACCTGCACCCTTATGGGGCCTCTGCCAAGAACCATGCAGAGCCAGCTGTTTAAAATTCATCTGGGGAACTTGTTAAAAATAGAGATTCATGGGCCCACTGCCTGAGATTCTGATTCAGCACGTCTGAGAATCTATTAAAAAGACAAAGTTCCAGGTGGTTTGGACATAAAAACCAGATTTTTACCCTCTGGTGAGTCATCAAGGAGCCCTGGTGATGCAGTGGTTGAAGAGCTCAGTTATTAAATGAAAGATTGCTGGTTCAAACCCACCAGCTGCTCCGCCGGAGAAAGATGACACAGTCTGCTTGTATAAAGATTTACAGCCTTGGAAACCCTATGGGGCAGTTCTACTCTGTCCTAGAGGGTTGCTATGAGTTAGAATCGACTCCATGGCAGTGGCTTTGGTTTTGAGTAAGTCATCATCCTTTGATCTCTCCCTGGAGCATTCTACTGTTGCTATGGAAACTACTGATCTACACCTCAGCCAGGCTGGATTTTACTTTTTTTTTTTTTTAGTATACATCTCACTGTTTCAAAAATAGAGGGCCTTATTTTTGGAAGCGAAAAGATGTTTTTTTCTCTCAAGATATTTCTAGTTAGGAAAAGCAAAGCCCCCATAAGGCAGGCAGAACATTTTCTCCTCTGAAACCAATTTAACAGAAGCTGGCGTCCCTCACTCCTTTAGTTGGTCTGAAAAGAATAAGCACGTATTTCTTGAGGCAAGTGACACACTATCTGGAGTTTCCTTCGGGTCTGAGTTGTTGTTTGGTGCCTGGCTGGAGAAGTTGTGGGCACTCAGGCTCCCCAAGTGGTCAGAGGGACAGATGGTGGTTAGGAACCACGGACCAAGACAGGAATCAAGATTTTGGAGGGTCCAACTTGATGCAGACCTGGAAAAGGATGGCCCTGCAGAAGTTACTATCAGAATGAATGTCTTCACGTGAGGCAAAGTGGCTGGGTGGCTAGTATTGAGCTGATTAATACATCTCATTCATACTTTGCAACTGAACTGTGACTTCACTGGTACAGAAGCAGAGGCAATGGAGTGGGAGAGGGGCAGAGAGAGGGGTTTTGTAGCTTTATGTTTAAAGATTGACCTCAGGTAAAAAGTCAAGAAGGTTTATGTATGGAAAGAAACTTTTCTTTCTTGCTTATGGGGAGGGGGAGATAGGGAACACTGCAAATAAACAAAAATGCATTGGAAAAAAAAAAAGACCTGAATTTTTTATTTTTTATTTTTTTGGCTTAAAAATAAAGGCATAAAATGGTTCCATCTCAAATAGAAGACTCTTAGAATTCGCTGATCTTTGTAAATCTTCTTGGGATACAAAAGCAGATATTTTTCTTCTAAAGATAATCACTGGGACCTTGCCAGCAACTATTAGGCAGGCAGGGCCACTCCAGATACCAGGTGAAACACTTCACTACAATTCTGTATCACAGAAGGAGCTGGTTCTTGCTGGAATAGGAACCATCCCTTTTGTTCTCCTCCCTCCTTCTGTCCTAGCCTTTGTCTACAAAATTCTTTGACTTTGGGGGAGAAGGTGCTTTTTAAGTCTCAACCCTGTGTGCTGAGTCCTTCCAGAGATGCTCTTAACATGCTGTTTCTTGGTTCAGGGCACAGAAAACCAGCTCTGGTCCCTTGACCCAACTAACTCAGCACCACCCTTCATCCTACCATCTCTTCAAACCCATGGAGTTGTGAGATCTGTATTAATAATCCTCTTCCAAGTCCTTTCACAGCTCTACCACCTCTTTCCCCAAATCTTCACATCACCATCCATGACTGGTGGCTTCCATTTGTTAATGCAACTTGCCTCCCAACCACTGAGTCTTTCTAAACATCAGCCGAACTGCCTTTCCTCCACCCCAGCCGACTGTAGACTCCTAGACCACATTTAGACTTGGGGGAAGGGACTGCCACTGAGGAACACTAGGGCAACTGCTGGGTTTATTCAGAGTAAATATCTGATCAATAGGTGTTTTTAGGCCTGGGTACATAACGAGAAACAGACACAAGGACAAGGAGAGTGTGAGGTGAGAAGAAGCTAGGATGGAACACAGGACTCCAAAGGGCTGGATGGAAAAGAGGAAGTCATGTTCAGATCACAATATTCCACAAGCCCACTGTTTATTCCAAACCTCCTCCAAATATCTGGTATGAGTGCTATGCACATCCTCTTTCTCCATGCTTGGACCACTTGATTTACCCTGGGGCTCCAGGTTCCCTCCCTGTCTGCTGGGCCCCATCAGCTTGGAGTCCTGTCACTCACTCAGGCATTTTCTCCACCATTCTGAGTTTATGTGACTCTCCCAGTGCACCTGGGAAACTGCAGAGAAGCGCTGTCTCCCTTTCTCCCCTTCCCTCTTCACTCTTCTTTCTCCTAGGCTTAAGCTTCAAGCAATTTAGAGACGCTTAACCTGGGATTCAAAGATAAGCTTCAGGGGCTCTGGGAATCTCTTAATATTATACACATCATTTGTGTGTGTGTGTGTGTGCAATGTTCTTGGCTTCACCATTTTATTTTTTGTTCAGCTTTTCAAAGAGAACCCAGAAAAGATGAGGAACCACTGGTTGGTTCTTAGCCTGTTGGTAAGCAAAGCAGACTGGAAGACTGAAATGCTCACAAAGCCGTGGTGGTCAGGGCCCAGCACGGTACCTTGGAAGCAGCCATCACTGCCGCCGTGGCTGCCACGTTCAAGCCTCGCTTCCCAAAGTGTACAAGGGCATCATAGCTTCGGTCTTTTGCTTGGACCAGGCAATCATCAATTTCCTGTCACAGAAACAAAGAGGCACACTGAGTTTAAAAGGTTCAGATAAGCCTCTATGCTCTCTCTCCCTTCTGAGATCTTGGCTAGAGCTTGTCTCAACATTTATTCTCACTGGGACAGGAATGTCCTTGACACTTTGAGTGTGTGTATGTGTGTGTAGCTAGGAAGAGAAGAGAAACAGTAGATACCAGAGCAAACCAGTTTCTGCCTGGTCGATTCTGATTCATGGTGACCCCCCCACACACACACACATACACACAAAAAGGGTCTGACACATGGTCAGAGTAGAACTGTGCTCCAGGGTTTTTCATGACTTATTTTTCAGAAGTTGATTACCAAGCTTTTCTCCCAAGGTGCCCTGGGGTAGACCCAAACATTCAGCTTTTCAGTTAGTGGCTGATCACGTTAACCATTTGCACCACTCGGGCTCCAGAGGAGATGCAGGGAATTGGAAAAGGAGTTTTTGGAGGAGAAAAAAACAAAAACACAGTGCCTTGCTGACTCAGGAAGCTTTTCTCCAAGCAACACCCTAGGATTGCTTCTAAAGCCGTCTAACCCTCCAGGGAGATTCTAAGGGATTCTGGATGTGGACAATTCTGCCATTCCACACAACCTCTCTACAGACCGTGGGAAGAACTTGGGGTGGAAAGGATGCTAAGAATCAAGTGTCTAACCTCAACCTGCCAGTAACTGGCTGTCAGACCTTGGAAAATACTTAGTCTCTCCATGTACAATTTTATCTTCTGAAAAATGAGGATCAGGCTTGTAACTAACTCATGGATTACTGTGAAGATTAAATGAGACTGATTCCAGCAGAGTATCTAACAGTGGCTGGTTTACATAAATGATAACTGTTCTGGTTCCCTAGTGCCACTCTGACAAGAAATATACCACAAAAGGAATGGCCTTAACAAACAGGAGTTTATTCTCTCACAATTTGGAGGCTTTAAGTCCAAGTTCAAAGTACCAGGCTCTAGGGGCTGGGTGAAAGCCCCTCAACCTTGGGGTCCAGCTCTGCCTCCTGCTTCCGGCCCACTGGAGCTAGAGGCATTTCTTCACTCACACAGCTGCTGAGGCTGAGAAGCCCCAAGGTTGACAAAGAAAAAGGCACAGTCCTGATGTTACCAAACCACACGACAGGCCGTTAACTTAAGTCCATTGTAAGTCCCAAGGTTGGCAGAGCACAGCAGGCTGCTGAGCAATGCCACGGCTACACGCAGGGTCCAAGCGTGCCAAAGGTTAGAGACCAGTCCCAAGACTTCTCCTTAAATACAGGAAGCAGACCACATCCCAATGGCAGCTACTCAGCTGCTTGTGGTAGATCCTACCATGGAGTTGATTGCCAGTCTCATCATGGGGAGTAACTACCACCAGCTGCCCAGCCACTCAACCAGGCCCAGCCAAGTTGACACACACAAACTTAACCACAACAATAATAACCATTGTTATTGTCCTCATTTAGAGGAGCTTGGGGCCCTTGCAACTCTAAAATTCTGTTATCCCTTAGTTATTTCATTCTAAATTACAATATATCATTATGTACACTGATGGGAGAGATCAGGAAGCAGAAAGAAATGGGGTTTATTTTTGTTGATAAGGGAGGTCATCTTACCGATATTAAAATGAAAGCAGAAACTAGAACTCAACCAGCACCATACAACCAAATAAAGATGTGGTGGAAAAACAGGGTTGAGGTCTACATCTATCAAGGAGACCAAAACAAAGTAAAATATTGGTTTAGTTCAAATTTGGAGCTCTGGTGGCACAGTGCCTAAGGCATTTGACTGCTAACCAGAAGTCTGGTGGTTCAAACCCACCAGGTGCTCCATGGAAGGAAGATGGGGCAATATACTTCTGTAAAGATTTACCACCTTGGAAACCCAGTGGGGGTTGTTATGTGTTGGAATCAATTCAATGGCAGTGAGTTTGGTTTGTTTTTTGGTTCAGTTCAAATTTGGATCAACTGGTTTATTCAAATTTTTAATTTTGGGCCATTTTGTTGTTGTTGTTGGTGGTGGTGTATGCAAATAGCTGTTGTGGGATCACAGTAGTTCATTTCAGAGCCCAGTAAGACAATGACATTTGGCCTCGGTCTTGTTTGAAGTTCTGCACGTTAGAGCATTTCCTGTGCTTTGAGGGTCGCAGGGGAGTTAGCCAACTCCCCACTTGATTCCCTGTTTAAACTTCGCCAGGAAGTCACAGTAGTAAGTCTTCTAATTGTGACCTCTGACTGACTCCAGAAATGATTCTTGGCAGCTCTTAAGAGCCTGACACCTTAACTTCAATGAAAATTACATTGGCAGCTTCATGATAAACCCAGTATTCAAGGAAAGGGAAGCAGAAAGTATGTGGATTTAATAATTAGATCAAGACAGAGCCCCCATGCCTCCAAATCTACCCTTTTGGAATGAGAGGTACTATGATTCTAGTTCCTAAAGGGATTCTCAATATGTTTACAGTATCCTGATTATCCAATTGATATGTTCCCCAAAACCTTCCTGATGAAGTCCAAAGTATTCAACTTTCAGAAACATTAGAAATTAATGTACCAAGACACAAATGGTGCTCCAATTTTATATTAGGGTAATGTAACACAATTATATTACAACTAATTATACCATGTTGTTAACATAATTATACAATTATATTACAATCAACAAATTATACAATATTGGAAACTTTTGACCTAATAATACTACTCTTGAGAATTTATTCTCAGAGGATAAGTCAAAAGAAGTAACTAAACTCCATGCTAGTAGTAAAGGGGCACTTCTATTATGGCAGATCACTATGAAGACCATGGGAGCTCTGGTGGCATAGTGCCTAAGGCACTTGACTGCTAACCAGAAGGTTGGCAGTTCAAATCCACCAGCCACTTCTCAGAAGGAAGACTGGGCAATCTGCTTCAGTAGATACTGCCTCGGAAACCCAAGGAGGGGTCGCGACTTGACGGCACATAACAACAACAACAACAATGAAGACCAAGTAGAAATGGACTACATGCAAGCTCATGTGAAGATCTCAGCATACAAATATTGTATCTATGTTAATTTTTTAAATTCTATGTTGTTGAGAAAGAATTTGTCTATATAAAAATCATCTGCAAAAGGACAGGGCCTCAACTTGAAAAAAGGAAGGCAATTCAGTTTAGGGGGTTGAATTGTGAGTGAAGTTTTCATTTTGTTTCAACTTATGGAAATGTTTTACAATAAAGGATGATAAAATAACATCTTTCAGAGAATTTTACCACTATTTCTATACTTATCAGAAAAACAGACTTTAAAAAATAAGACTAAAAGGAACAACTTGTTGGAAGTAAGTAAGAGCCAACCAAGGAGTCTTCCTGCAATCACATGATCAGTCCACTGACCTGCCAAGCGCCCACTCCCTAAACTGTATCCTTTGCAGGAAGGAGTGAAAGTCCAAACAGGGTAAGTTACCTTTTCTTTTGAAGACAGCGTGGGATGTACAAATTTCCTGTATAGGAGGCTGGAGCCTTTTGTGTAGGGAGACAGCAGCCAGGCTACAAATGCTATTTTTAGTTCATAATAGAATGGAAACCTGGAGAGAGAAAAGAAAACACACATCCCATTAGGTTCTTGGCCAAACTGCCTAGGGCCTATGACCTATAAGACTCTGCACACCACTGCCAGGTCCCCCCAGACATCTCCTTTCTTCACATGTAAAGGCATGTGCACATACATGCACACACACAACATAACCCCAAAGCTTCCCTTTGAAAGCCCAATTCCTACTTTGTCAGAGCAAACCAAGTACCCAGGTTTTCTCTAGCAATCACTCTATGTCCTCCCTGGCAACAGCGGTAGCTTTCTGACAGGATGGGCTGTCCTCATTTAGGGTGGAGCCAGAGCTCAAGCTGTAACCTGAAGAGAAGCCCAGGTCTGTGCCCTCACACATAGTCATTCACTCTTTACTTGTGAGCCAACAAGCCACCAACACCAGGAGAAAGTACAGTGGAGTAGAGCTGACAAAGAACTCCAGACTGAGAATAAAAGCCACCCCTATCTTGGCTGTATTCATGGCCCAAATAGAGGCAGAGGACAGGAACCCAGCTCTTGCCAGGAAATAGGGTGCTAATCATCCTACTCCATTCAATGGCAGGCAAATGGATCTTGATCTTTTTGGTGCTAAAAAAAGAAGACAGGGAACACACAAGTCTGGAGTTTGAAGTCCTGCATAGATTTGAGCCCATTCATTTCTTCATTCCACAAACACTTAACCAGCAGCACTTCTATGTGTCAGCTTGCTAAGGACTGGGGGTTTGTTGTTGATGTTCTGTGCCATCGAGTCATTTCTGACTCATAGCGACCCCTCCTTGGGTTTCTGAGGCAGTATCACTACAGAAGTAGATTGCCCAACCTTCCTTCCGAGGAGTGGCTGGTAGGTTTGAACCGCCAGCCTTCTGGTTAGCAGTCAAGGGCCTTAGGCACTATGCCACCAGAGCTCTCAGGACTGAGGGTAAAATAGTGAACAAAGGAGACCCAGTCCCTGATCTCTGGGAGCTTCCAGTCTAGTAAGAGAGTCAGAGGCACAGACAAGATTCTGGCACCCTTGGAACTTCTTCTTTTTTTTTTTTTTTTTAATTTTTTACTGTAATATGGGTAAAAGTTTACAGAACAAATTAGTTTTCCATTCAACAACTGATCTGGCACCCTTGGAACTTATAGTCCAGTTTGGGGAACAGAAATATGTCAAATAATCACAAGTAATACGTAAGAATATATAAGAGAAACCCAAGATAAGTGCTATCATGGGCCTGTGTTAGTCCACATGGTGCCTTGTATCTATTAGACAAAGCCAGTCCCTACAACTGGATGCAGTTCTGTGGGCACCTAGCTTGGCAAGCAAAGCTTGGCTGTGTTTCAGCTCCAGTTGCCTCCTCAGCCAGGTACCTCATGATGTGAACAACCTGCACAATCATATTTAGCCGTCCTGATGCTATGAAGGAAAATGATAGGATTCTGTAAGTGCAAATAACAAGAAGACCTGTGCTAGTCTCAGGTATCAGAAAACTAAATCCCTCCCAGGCATCTTCCCTCCTAGAAATAAAGGAGTTGGAAATAAAAAGCAGCTTCTAGTAAGCCATTTCGGGAGCTCTGGTAGCATAGTGGCTAAGGCACTTACTTGACTGCTAACCAGAAGGCAGGCGGTTCAAACCCACCAGCCACTCCTCGGAAGGAAGGTTGGGCAATCCTACTTCCGTAGTGATACTGCCTCGGAAACCCAAAGAGCTGTCGCTATGAGTCGGGGCCGCCTCGTCAGCAAACAACAACAACAACAACAACAACAGTAAGCCATTTCAGAGCCCTTTAATTCTCTCACACATGCTCTGCTAAATTAGCTGCCCCACACATTCTTTCTTTCCTCATCAAGGTCGCCTGCTTTCTGCCTCTGACAGGCTTGCCATGCATATTCCCCCAGAAAACAGGAAACACGTTCATGGCAAGACACATTTAATGTTTCACAGCCAAAAGAGAGATAGGGCTGAGGGAACAGAGGCCATGATTCTCCCACATTTGAACATTCTGGTGACTCAGGATGAAATTTTGTTTTGAAAACAACTCTTTGTCAGCCCCAAGGGGAAAGGAAATGAATCCGCAAGCTCAGGTATCAACATAATCCCAAGGGCACTTGTCACACTGTGGCTCTCTTATTATGAAAATGTGTACTTTTTTTTTTTTTTAAAAATAAGTGATGCAGATAATTTAAAAAATTCTGTAAGTCCAAAAGAGTATACATCAAAGGGTCTTCTTCCCTCCCCTGGCCCCTAACCTCTTTTCCAAAAGCAAGCACTATGATGAGTTTCTCATGTATTCTTCCAGTGGTCGACTAAAGCTAGGCATATACAATCATGTAGCAGGTTACATACCATCATCTGTCTGTCAGCTTGTTGTACTAGGATGGGTTGCGTGTTGCTATGATGCTGGAGGCTACGCTATTGGTATTTCAAATACCCGCTTCAAATACCCGCAGGGTCACTCATTACAGGTTTAAGTGAAGCTTCCAGTCGAAGACAAATTAGAGAGAAAGGTCTGGCAATGTACTTCTGAAAATTAGCCAATGACAAGTCTGTGGATCACCACAGAATATTGTCTGATTCAGTGCCAAAAGACGAGCCTCTTAGGTTGGATGGCACTCAAAATACACAGAGGCTGCAACAGTGGACTCCCCACAATTGTGAACACGGAGCAGGACCAGACCTTTTGTTCTATCATGCATGGAGTCACCATGAATCGAAGATGACTCAACATCAACTAAAAACAGGAGGAATATATAACTCCCTTAACACCTCCCCCAGCACACACCTTCCTATACTTTTCTTCCTCCTTGCACACATACACATAATTAACAATGTATCCTGGGGATTATTTCATACTAGCAGGTGTAGAGCTCTGGTAGCATAGTGGCTAAGACACTTGCCTGCTAACCAGACGGCTGGCGGTTCAAACCCACCAGCCACTCCTCGGAAGGAAGGTTGGGCAATCCTACTTCCGTAGTGATACTGCCTTGGAAACCCAAGGAGGGGTCGCTATGAGTCAGGTTTGACTCGACGGCACATAACAACAACAACAGCAGGTGTAGATGCTTCACTCTTGTCAATGGCTGCGTACCAGCATCTAACCAGGCTCCCATGGGTAGATATTTACTACAGCAGAGCTGCAGTGGACCTTTTTGCATATGCTTCTTTATATACACACAAAGGTATTTTTAGGATAAATACCCAGATGTAGAATTTCTGTATGCATTTTATATATAGATAGAGGTTGCACCTCCTCGCAGACTATGTGAGAGAACCTGCTTCCCCACAGCCGGCCTTACCCCACAGTACATGCACAACTGTGGATACTTTTAAAGCCTGCCCCAGCCTAGGGTTAGGGTTTGTGGGCTAAGTTTTCACACTGGTGTCTGAGTAGTCCATTTGGGCCGCCCAAGCCTCATTTATTCCCTAGCAAACCTGTTGTATTTTTGGCCCAAATAGAGGCAAAGGACAGGAACCCAGACCCTCCTTGTTCTTTAGAGTCTTCCCTGTGTATCTCACCCTTACTGATGTAGTCTTTAAAAATGTGCTGAACATTTACATCAGGTAGATACAATCCTTAGAACAATCAATCATGGGAGAAGAGAAGGGCAGTGTTTGCACAGGGAGATGGCTCAGGGGGCAGGAACGCATGGAGGGGATGGACACAGGAAGGAGATGGCTGCATGGGGATAGTGGGAAGAGAGCTATTGCACTGTGGGGAGTTGCAGTCAATGCCATGAAACAAAATGTGTATGAACTGCTGTGTGGAAAATGAATTTGCTCTGTAAACTTTCACCCAAATCACAATAATAATATTAAACCCTTCTGCCTCCCAACCTTCTGGCTTCACTGCCCAGGCCTTCTCTTGTCTGGTAGGCAAAGCACCTCCCATGACAAGTCAGGGTAGTAGACTTCTTTTGGGGTGGCCTCCAGCCCTGCCCATTTGGGGGCTACTCTTCCAGGCAGCTCTGGACTGGCACAAGAGAATGTCATTCTGTATTCCCCTGTTCTCTGTGGGTGATAGCATGTCCTTTGAAACTGTCTGGGGGCCAAAGAAATCCCAAATCAACTGATTATAAAGGAATGGTTTTGTTCCTCAGGCCGAAAGTTGGCATAGCTATCCAGAGAAGAAAAAAGGTAGTAGTTAAAGCCTGGTAACTCCTGACGTTTCCAGGACTTTGGTTTAAAGGCGGTCCTTTCTAGTCTTTTACCATTAACTAGAATTTCAAGTCTACAGTCTACTGTTATTATCAATTATTACATTTTCTTTCAATTTCTTTCCTCAAGCTTTTTTCCTGTCCCACTTGTCTACTCAAAAATAGCCACTAGCTATTTATTGAGTCATTCATTTGTTCAGTTGGGAAAATTCTATTGAAAATATACTACATGAAAGGTATGTGCTAGGAATTATAGAGAAACCAAAGCCTGGCTAGATATGCCTTCATCCTTAGAGGTTATCTCTTAGCAGAAGAACTAAGACAAATAGGCAACCCCACCTACAAGTTACAGGGGGAGAATGAACAAAGTCTTAGTAGGGATAGGGCTTTGCTTTTCTCCCAACTTCCTTTCATTACTCATCAACAACCACTTCAAAATTCTTCTGTCTCGTCCATCACTATATCCACAGTGCCTAGAATACTACCTGCATACAAGGTCATTCAATAAATATTTACTGGAAGAATAACTTTTATAAACCAATTTATTTAAATGCTCCAATTAACACCCCCTGCGCCTCTGTCTCTGGTCTGAGGTAAGGTCTGAAGCTGGTTCTAACCATTTCTGACTTCTTTTCTGACACTAGGAAAAATCCTCCTATGAACATCTCAATTCCTGGAGTACTCACCAACAAAGGAAGATGTCTGTGAATGTCTCTGCTGTGGTGAAAAGTGCAAATATAATCCAGTACATCATCCATTTGACCTTGGGAAAGAGAAAGCAACAAAGCTAACAGGTACAGTAGGAGAAGCACAGACTCAAAGGCAACAAAGGTGAATACTATTTGAATTATTACACAATCCTGCAATAGTAGGAATAATAATAATCAATGAGTGAACACATAGATATATGGTATGGGAAGGCAAATGGGACTATACCCATGATATATTTAGGTTTGACAGAGGATATTTCTACATATGTATTTATATGTGCAGCTAATATATCCATGAATGTAGTAGAGCATACAGGGGGCAAAATTATGAAAACATCTGAGTTACAACCAAACACCCTGAGGGAATGAGTTGCTGGGAATGGAGATTTGGGATCATAAGTCTCTGGGGATGCTAAGGTCAATTGGTATAACACAGTCCACAAAGGCAATGTTCTACATCCTACTGTGGTGAGCAACTGAGTCTTAAAAGCTTATAAGTGGTCACCTAAGTTACAACTCTTGGTCTCTGCCTGTCTGGAACAAAAAAGAGTGAAGAAAACCAAAGACACAAGGAAACAATTAGTCCAAAGGACTAATGGACCACGTGAACCCCAGCCTCTGCAGTCCTGAGAAAAGAACTAGATGGTGCCCAGCTACCACTGCTGACCACTCTGAGAGGGATTACAATGGGAGGTCCTCGATAGAGTGGGAGAAAAATGTGGAACAAACTCAAAATCATAAACAAGAGTTGGCTAACTGGCTCGATAGAGATTGGTGGAACACCCAAGACTAAGGCTCTTGGACACCTTTCAAGCTTGAATTCAACTCCTGTGGTCCAACTTTCAGCCAAACAACAGAGATGCATATAAGGTAAGCAACAATTCTAGGGAAGTACGTACTCCTTAGAACAGTCGACCACACAGAATCAAAAGGGCAGCATTTGCCCAGGGATAAAGCTCAGAAGGCAGAAAGGGATAGGAGAGAAGGGCAAATAGAAATGGTAAACACAGGGAGAAAGTGAGAAGAGTGCTGCTACAGTGTGGGGACTACAATCAATATCGTGGAACAAAATGTGTACAAATTGTTGAATGGAAAATAATTTTCTCTATAAACTTTCACCCAAATCACAATTCAAATATATATATATATATATATATATATATATATTTTTTTTTAAAGGATAATTGGTTGTTCAACCTTACCCACCATCAAGAGTAACAGGCCCAGATAGTTGATGCTGAGGCATGTCCAGGCACTGCAGCCTGCATTTGCAACCTCTCTTCCCTATTCTTTCCTAATTCCTGTCTGGTTCCACTCCAGACCTTGGTGCTGGAAGGAAACTGAGTGTTTCCCAATTGATTCTTGGCTAAGGGTCAATTAGACCTAGAGCTGCTTTCAGGAACCCTCAAATGATCTAGGGAGGCCTGAAGACCAGGAATGACCTGGGATCCAGTCTGGTGATTTTTCTAGGATTGACACACCAGGTGAGTAAACTCCCCAGGCCTCTGCAGAAACTATACTTTAACCAGTCTGGGCTCTCTGGTAAGGTTCCCTGTCACTTTAGAACCCTTTCCTGTGATGAGGTCTTTATGGATTGAATTGTGTGCCCCCTTTCCCCCAAAAAAAATCCTAACCCCTCTGGTGGTGCAGTGGCTAAGTGCTCAGCTGCTAACTGAAAGGTCAGTGGTTCAAACCCACCAACTGTTTTGCAGAAGAAAGATGAGGCAGTCTGCTTCCATAATGAAATCTTGGAAATCCTATGGGACAGTTCTACTCTGTCCTAAAGGGTTGATATGAGTCAAAATCAACTCAACAACAACTTTTTTTTTTTTTTTTTCTTTTAAATACTATGATGTACTCCTGCCTGGCAATAAGGTTTTCTTTGTTATGTTAATAATGTCCTATGAGTGCAGGGTATGCCATAAATCTAATCACATCTGAATTATAAGGAACAGCATAGACACAGAGATAAGCAAGCATAAATGGAGGAAAGACTGATGCCATGTGAAGATGAACAAGGGACCAAGGAATGCTAGGGCTAGAGAAGCTGAGATAAGGATCTTTCCATCAGAGAAAGAGCCTTCCCCTACAGCCAGTGCCCTGAATTCAAACTTCCAGCTTCCTGAACTGTGAGAAAATTAATTTCTCTTCTTTAAAGTCACCCATTGTGGTAGTTCTGTTACAAGCAGCATTAAAAAATGAAGACAAGGTCCCATGGCCCATCTCAAAAATTGGATCTTTCTTTTAATCTCTCTCACCTGATTATCTCTTTTCATTTCCACTGTCTCCCTCCTCCAGCTGAAGTTTTTCTTCCCTCTTTTCTGAACTACTGCAAGAATCTCCTAACTGCTTCCCTTGTCTCCTAACTTTCCCCTTACCAACCCATCCTACAGAGTGCCACCATACCAAAAATCTACAAATTCATGCCACCACTCCCCCATTAAACATCTTCCAGTATGCAGAATAAATCCAAATGTCATAGTCTGTAACTCATGGCTTCTGGTAAATGGTCAAGTAACTTCTACTGGGATAACTAACTCTCCTGCCAATAACAATAACAAACTCTGTACAAAATATTTTTTAAAAAACAATTATTTGAAGTCAATGGAGACCAAAGCAAAGAAGACAGAAATTGGAAGGGATTCAACCCTTGAAATAAGGGAAACACACTACGTTAGATCCAAGTTGATGTGGCTCAGTGCACTGCCCACTCTGTGTATTATGGGGTAGATAGAACTGAAGCATAAATGCAGTCTTCTTGGCCTAAGGGATTACAGAATGGAGTTTGAGATTACCAGAGACTGGAAATTGAGAGGGAAAAAGTCCAGAAAGAAGGAAGCCATGGATTCAAGAGAAATGAAAACATGTGTCCACACAAAAACTGGTACATGAATGGCATTATTCATAATAGCCAAAAAGTAGAAAAAAACTAAATGCTCACCAAGTAATGAATGGATAAATGCAATGTGACATGTCCATGGAAAATTATTCAGCCATAAAAAGGAATGCAGTACTGATACTTTCTTCCATGTGGATGAAACTTGAAAACTCTACGTTAATGAAAGAAGCCATTCACAAAAGATCACATATTCTACAATTCCATTTATACAAAATGTCTATCATAGGTAAATCCATAGAGTCAGAGTAGATTTATGGTTTTCAGAGGCTGGGAGGAAAGAACAACGAGAAGCAACTGCAAATGGGTACAAGGTTTCTTGCTGGCTTGATAAAAATGCTCTAGAATTAGTAGTGATGTTGCACAATTCTGTGAATATACTAAAAACCACTGAATTATATACTTTCAAAGGGTGAATTCTATAGTATGTGAATTATATCTCAATAAAGCTGTTATTTTTAAAAGCTCAAATAACAAACATCAGTACTTTTTGCAAATACTTTAATTTTCTTGAAACAACTGACAAAATAAGTTGAATCAATTGTAAGTGGATAAACATAAAATCAATGAGCCCATGTTAATGAAGCAACCTGTTAACAAAGTCTTTGTATGAAAGCTGTTTCATTTGTTACTATTTATCAAGATATTTGTCCTAGAAGGAATAGAGTAGGTTCAATATTATTATTTTTTAAGTATAAATATGCTAAAAAATCTACAGAAAAAGAAGGATTTAGTAAGTGAAAGATATCAGGAGAGAGAAGAAAAAAATATATTCTAGAAGTGAAAAAAAACAGTGTCTGAAATGAAAGTTATTGCATGAGATCAACAGCAGATTAGACACAACAGAAGATCCACGAATATGAAGACAAGGCAACAGAAACCATCCAGACTGAAATCTAGACAGAAAAAAAAAAGGATACTCAATACCTGTGAAACAATATCAAACTATCTTAAAAAGAAAACCAACCTTACTGCCATCGAGTCAAATCTGACTCATAGTGACTCCTTCTTGAGTTTCTGAGGCGGTATTACTACGGAAGTAGATTGCCCAATCTTCCTTCTGAGGAGTGGCTGGTGGGTTTGA